GATTAACTGTGAAAGACTTAACTACTCTGAATAATACACATATCCAGGACAGTTCCAAAGGACTCGTGATGAAAAGTACTTTCCTCCTTCAGGGAGAGAGAACTGATGAATGCTGATTCCAGACTCAAGCATATTTTTTTCACTTTATTTTTCCTGCTGTTATGTTTTTTTGCAATATTGCTAATATGGAAAAATGTTTTGCATGATTTCACCACTACAATGGGTACCAAACTGCTTGGCTGCTCAATGGGTAGAGAAAGGGCTGGAAGGAGAAAGAATCTGGAAGTCAAAATTTAAGGAAATGAATATCAAAAATAAACAAGTATTAAAAAAAATAAAAGCTTTAGAGTGTGTCCCCCCTCCCCCCCCAAAAAGTAAAACCATTCAGGAACAGTTAAAATGAGTAATTATCTTATATAAATGAGGTGCCAGAGGAAGAACTTGATACAGAGGAATTAGATGGAGGAGGAGGGCTGTTAGTTCTGGAAACCTACTTTCATCAGGAATGGGTTCAACAGAGAACAATACACACGTGTGTGTGTATAAGAGCATAAAAATCTAAATTCAAAAAGAAATAAAACACTAAGGAAATAGAAAGGGCACAGAGGATAAGAGAGGGATTGCTAGAGGAGAGGATGAGGGAATACATCAAAGGGGGACATAAAAGGGGGTTCAGATTCATGAGAACGGGAGGATAAGGAAGGGATCCTTGGAGGGGGGTTAGGTTAAGTAATAGGAGGGCAAGGTAGCAGGTAGAAGTAAAGTCAGGAGCGATATGGAAATAAGAGATACACACAAACATAAAAACAAAGATCAGGAGTAGAATTTATTAGGGAAAGTATATATTTATGTATGTATGTATGTATGTATGTATGTATATATATGCATACGTGTATGTATATATCTCTATATAGAAATATATCCACACTCAATTATAGCCTTCTGAGGGGCAGGAGGGCAGAGAGGAAGGGAGAAAAAAAGAACAAAGTAAAAACTGCACATCACAGAACAAAAGAAAACTTAAAAGGAAGCAAAGAAAAAATGGATAGTTCTCAACACAATGCATAGTATTACATAGGCTTTCTTGAAATGGAAATTTATTGCTATATATTTTGAATCCTCTTTTATGTTCTGCTGTGCACATGACATTTTTTCTTTTCTTATTTTATATTTAAGTTTGTTTTTATTTTCTTATTGTCTAAGTATTTAAGACTATAATAAAAAAAAGTTTAAAAAAGAAAATATTAATTGTAAACAAGTAAAAAGTTATATTGCAAAGAGTTAGAGCAGGCTTGCATAATATACAGCCCACAGGCCACTTGCATCCTGTGAAAAATGTAGAAAGTAAAGATATAACAAGTGCTTTGTCCATGTCCCACTGAACCTGCCTTTCACTAGCCACTATTGTGTCAGTCATATAATTTGGTGGGTGGGTTGCTACTGTGCACTCCTGTTTGTCACATGACCCACAGCAACAACCATAGTCAGTCTGTCTCTAGTCTGAAAGAAGCAAGAGTTGCATCTTTTCGCTGTGTTTTTGCTGTTACTGGCATTGAAGTGGGACAAAGTGATTGCAGCCATGCACCAACACAGCTGACACCGCTATGCAACGAGTGGCAGCAATGCGATGGCTTCTTCCCCTTTCTCCCCACAAGGCCACTCTCCAAGTTACATGAGTGTCTGGTGCTCTCTCCAAGGTCAGACACTCAGTTCAGGACTTCTTTCTACGTGAGCAGTTGCTGTGGAGATTTTTTGGTTCTAACATTGAAAGTTTTTGGGATGACTTTGTAAAATGGGTGATAGAAATGGAAGATCAAATCAGAACATAGTGTTTAATCCGGAATGGACAAATAGATATTTATTTACATGAGAGACAAAATACTGTGCCTTGTTTGCTGAGAACGGCCTTCTGAATACAATCATTGTCACCATTTTGAATCAAAACATCCCGACTTAAGCAAATTAGACACCAGTGGAAAAAAAATTAAAGTGTCCAAATTGTTGAGAAATCTCAATGGGGAACAATGGATTTTAAAGAAAGTAAATTCAGAAAATGAGGTGGCTACTAAGGTTAATTTTCAGATTTCTGAAGAAATTGCTGCTGCTGGGAAGTCCTTTACTGAAGGTGACTTCATAAAGAAGTGTTTGCTGATTGCAGTTTCTAGATTATGTTTAAATTTAAAAAAGTGTTTCTGAGAATATAAATTTGTCCCTTTTGACCATGCAGTGAAGAGTAGCTGATGATGATAAACTGATTGCCTACAAGAAGTGTAATGTGTCCCATTAACTAAATGTAAACAGTAAGAAAACCTAAAAAATGTATTAAAACTTGTACCACTTAGCAATTTTTTTAACATTAGTATGATTTCATGATAAATAAAAATCTTAATAAGTCTAATTAATTGAAATTTTCCTTTTTGAAATAAGGCTTATTTGCAAAATAGTTTAATCCTTAATTATACCATTACTTGGAAAGTGAGTCACTAAAATCCTATCTGTGACCTGAAGAAATTTAGCCTGTTGTAATTTTGGCCCCTGGGGCCTACTGCCAAGTTGTGCAGGTCTGGGTTAGAGGGTACCAGTGTAAAAAGCACTGCCTAGTTTAGCTGAATGAGAAAGAGTTAACTTGAAGGAATAGGACAGAATGTTTAGTTGTTTTTTGCAGATTTGGTAGGTCTATAAAATCAGCAGGGAAGCAGGCCCAGAGGACAAAAAGAGGTGGACACATTAGGCACTTAATAAATGCTTGCTAATTCACTATTAGGGAAGAGAAAAGGTGATTGAAGAGTGAAGTTCCCTGGGGATGAGATCAAGGGCACAGGGGTTGACCCTGGCAAGGGCGGCTTTTTCCTTGGAGACTCATTTTTTTCAACATTTTTTAGGGCTGCACTCAACACTACAACAGGTTTGATTTCATTCTCCTCTCCATTTACATTGTTGTAGTCGCTCTGTACATCTAGTTTTCCTGCTTATCACACTTTGCATCAGTTTATGGATATCTTCACATGCTTCTCTGAAATAGTCATGTCTTTCTTAAGGAACAGTAACCTCCGAGTATATTCACAGACCACAATTTGTTAAGCCATGTCCTAATCTGTAGACACCTACTTTGTTTCAGGTTCTTCGCTACCAAAACAAGTCATGCAATGGATATTTCAGCATATACACATATTTTTGTCTTCGATGTTGTTGGGGCATAGGTCTAGAAGTGGGCTCTCTGGGTCAAAGAATAGCCTCCTTTGTTATCAGCAGCAACCCCTACTGCATTACCACCTCAAGTCCAAAAGCAACATACCATTCCTTATACCCAACATTCTACGTCCCAACTCCTTCCCCTTGGAATCCCTAGGTCCATCCAAAGCACAGCTCAGGTGACACCTACTAGACAAGGTGATCTCCCTCCCCCAACCCCTCAGTACTTTCTCCCACTGGAAACTACTTTGCATACACTCCTCTGTGCGGAGGCTATGGCCCTCCAGTAGAATATAAGTTCCTTGGGGGCAAGGACTCATTTCTATCTTTGTATTTCCATCATCCAACATGCCTGTCAAAATGCTGTATTAAAATCCACATCTTAAGGGGCAACTAGGTGGTGCAGTGGATAAAGCACCGGCCCTGAAGTCAGGAGGATCTGAGTTCAAATCTGGCCTCAGACCAAATACTTGACACTTACTAGCTGTGTGACCCTGGGCAAGTCACTCAATCCCTACCGCCAAAAAAAGATTTTTTTAAAAATCCACACCCTGAGCTCCTTAGAAGTTCACAAAGAGCTAGTGCAGGTGCTTAATAACTACTTGTTGAGTTAAAATGAATGAATCTCATCAACTCACTGAGACAGGTCAGGTCTTCTACCTCACAACTGTACTATTCCAAAGTCTGGATAAACACTGTTGCTGTGTCCTCGGCTGCCCTTTCCATTCTTCCCTCACAGTGGGCATCAGTCCTATTAAGTCACCGCTTAGACCCTAGGCATCTCCTTCCATTCCCCTCCAAATCACAATATTAACAGGAGACTCACCTTGAGGCAGGGCACTTTGACCTCAGCTGTGGATCAAAGGCTTTAAGATGATCTCTCTTATCTGTGAAGTTTGATGATTCTAGAATGTATCTTTAAATCTGTCCTCTCTTTTCTATCTAGATCATTGCCACCACCAGCCCACATATTTTCTTCATGTTCCCATCTTCCCAGGATTAACTTTATGGCTACTACCTGGCATCGTAATACTTAACAAGTGGGTGGCTGACTAAATGGCTATGTTGAGTCATCACTAGGACACACCCTGTACAGCAGAGTAACCCTCCTTTCTTCCAAAGGAGGCTCTCCTCCATAACTGACATCTGCTCTAAGTTTGTCAGAGAAGAGGAACTAGGAGGCCCAAAGGCTACTAGGGGTACAACCAGGGGACCTTTTTTATACTTTGAAAACAATGTCTCACAGATTCATAAATTTTAGAGATAGAAGGGACCTTGGAGACCATCTAGTCCAACCTTATCATTTGAGAGATAAGGAAACTGAAGCCAGAGAAGTTATATTACTTGCCCAAGGTCACACCCTTATAAAATGGCAGAGTTGGGATTTGAGCTTAGGTCCTCACTCCAAATCTAGCATTCTATTTTTCACAAAGAACACTTTTTTTTCCCCTCACAAATGGGTAAAAGAAAGCTCAAATAAGAATAAGAAGGCTATATTCCAGGTGCCAGCAGAAACTTTCCAATGGTTAGGAAAAGGCAGGGAGTAGAGTTCTTGAATGATAGGAAGAGACATAGCTCTTGGAAACCAGCTTCCTAATGAGGCGTGTGAGTGAAAACCAGGACCTGAAAATGGGCAAGAAATGTGTGTACACCCAAAGGACCACAACTCCAGACCTGAGATGGGGACCTGTGGTCTTGGGTAGTGAGTCTGGGGGCTCTAAGAAAGGGGAGAAGCATGGCAAATCAAGGTCAGTCTAGGGAGCAGAGATGCTAAAGTATGAGCAGGGGTCAATGCAGCAACCTGAGTGTGAAGAATTAGGACATACTTCATTCCATTTATTATAGCATCCCACTGATCATTGGAGCTCAACTATTTCTTAGTTCCTTCCAGCTCTGTCCATGAGCCTATGCATGGCAACCCCTGCTGGCAGAGGAGAGACACAGCACGCTGCAGCCTGGGGAACAGAATCTGCCATCTCAACAAGGGGTGAGGCCAACACTATCTGGCCCTTGGGAGTCCAGTCTCTTAAGCAGATTCCACACTGAGTTCAAGAGTCACTGCACAGCACAGGGCCGGCCAGCCTTCCATCAAAGGTGACAAACAAGTAGTTGGCCAGTTGCTAAGGAAAGGGAGGAGGAACATCTGACACCCAGGCCCAGGGCTGGGTGGGCAACCTCAAGAGTGCTTAGCTGAAGAGGCAGAGGTCCTTGGCTTCCTCTTGGTGTACTTGAAGCTTCGAAGAGGGTTCTGTGTCTTTGGGGCCTGTGGGAGTAAGAAGGTATTAAGGACAGGCATTCTCAGTCTGCCAGAAAAGTGATTAATCTCCCTACTAGGAACAGTAATAGTCAAACAGTCCAAAGGACACAAGTTGAGAGAAGCGATTCACTGTCACAGAGTATCAGAGGCCTTTCTGAGCTGGGGAGACCTCGGAGATCACTTAGTCTGACCTCCTTGTTTCACAAATGAGGAAACAGAGGCCCAGAGAGGAGGAAGTGCCCTGGTGCCTTCTTTCTTACCAATTGCTACCCCACCCCATACATACACACATACACCACAACCCATTCTACTTTTCCCCTTCCTCTCCCCTTTTCCTGCCACTGCCTTCACTATTCCCTACTGAGGAAACAATTAAAAAAGCAAAAATAGAGGGAGGGGGAATTTCTTTTTTTTTAAGTCCCAAGTTCCTTTTGTCTGCTACCCTGACAATATCTAGTCACAAGTTCACAGTCCACAAACCAAGCCACCAGGCTTCCTCGGGGATTCTGACCTAAGGCAAAGATAATGCCTCTTCTCTGCTCTCTCACAAGGCTTCTTAAACTGTGGGTCTCCGAAAAGGTCTCGCGTGCAAAAAGTTTAAGAAGCCCTGCTCTAGGGGTTGGGGTCTAACACCATTTCCTGGGCCCTGCAATGAAGGCAGCAAGGAGGGGGAAAGGGTCAACATTCCAGGATCCTGTTCCCTAACCAGAGCCCACGAAGGAGACATACCTTAAATTTCCTGTGAGAGGTGAAGGGTCTGTTCCGTTTCCGCCTGCTGTGAGGACGGGCAATGCCACGAAGTGTGGGGGGCACTAGGGAATGAAGAAAACAGATCTTCGGCAATCTACACCCACGACTCCGCTACAACTGCAGCCCTCATGCCCTCCAGGACTTTGGAGCTCAGCCATCCTCAGATATGACCCTAGTAGATCTCTCCACAACACAGAATTCATCCCTACTGATGTTCTCCTCCTGGACCTGTCTGTGCATTTCACTCTGAACACCCACTTCTGCTAGAAGCCCTATCACCTCTTAATTTCCATGCAACTATCCTTAAATTGGTCCTCATTTCACCTCTCTGCCGAGTCTGATGGCTCCTCTTCATTAACCTTCCTGTGCCCCTCCTCCCCCAATCTTCCCAAAAGTCTGTCCTCAAGTATTTAGCTATCCTTCAATAAAATCATCTATTCCCATGGCTTCAACTGTTGCCTCTCTTTAGATGATTCTTTAGCTAGTCTCTTATTTCCAAACATCAGTAATATCTACAGCTAACTTTTATATAGTGCTTTCAGACCGATATTCACAACAATACCATGAGGCAGGCACTACTGTTATGCCCACTTCAGAGAAGAGAAAATTGAGGCTTAGAAAGGCTAAAGGATTTGCTCAAGGTTATAGAGCTAATAAGTGTCTGAGGTGGGATTCCAACCCACATCTGACAAGTCCAATGCTCTAGTCACTACACCACATGTTTCAATGACCAGAAGGACATGTTCACTACAACGCTCCAATTCCAGGACGTGAACCCATCACATTCTCCCTTAGGGCAATTTCCATTTTTTTCCTTCCCATCCCATCTCTGATAATGCTTTTCAATGACTTTACTATCCATGCTGGTAACTTCCGTAACTCCAATTTCCCCTTGAATTAGACCCCTGTAAGGCTGCACCCTAAACCTCAACATCACATGGTGCTGTGTGAACTCTCAAAATCTGAAACTCACTAAGTTCCCACATTCCCAGTGCCACATGGAGCTTTTGTCAGTTCTCTCTCTATACACCCAATGAACCAGGTGTTCAATCTCACTAGAAATAAGTATTTATTAAGCTCCTATTGTGTGCCAGGTACTGGGAATACGGAAAGTGAGATCCCTGCCCTCTCAAGGAAGTTACTTTCTTACAAACTCAACCAACGGGCTGTTAAGACTAAATGAACTCTGAAACTCACTGTTCCCCAGCCCTCCTGAGAGGGCAGACAACATGGTAGAGCTCCTGCCAGATCTTGAATTTGAGGAAGGGGCCCAGTGCAGCCACCTCATCACCTCTCACCCAGCAGCAGGATCTTATTACACTCCTGGGCCAGGTATCCTACACCCACCCCTTGTCAGCTTCTTTTTTTACATGCTGTCTTTATGTTCCCCAATATGTTGTGAGCTCCTTTGAAGGCAGGGACTGTCTTTTGCCTTCCTTTGTATCCCCAGCTCTTAACATAGTACCTGGCACATAGCAGGTACTTAATAAATATTTATTCAATGATCGGGTATCAAAGGGAAGGGAAACCATTACTTCCTGAAACAACTCATTCCTTATGGAAGTTTCTCTTATGTCAACCTGCAGATCTTTTTGAATCTACTTCACTTTTTATTTTATGTTCTAGAATTCTGCCAAGGATCTAAGTCAAATTTGCTGACCTATATAGTTTACAGATTCCATTCTCTTGCCTATTTTGCAAATCAGGACACTATCTGCCTTTCTCCCATCTTACAGCACATTTCTTCTCCATAGTCATTCAAAGATCACTGACAATGGTTCAGCAATAACATTTGACAGTTCTTTCAGTATCCTGGGATATTGTTCATCTAGGCCTGTTGACCAGAACTCATCAAGGGCACTGAGGTATACTCTCTCTCTCTCTTTTTTTAAAGGCAATTGGGGTTAAGTGACTTGCCCAGGGTCACAAAGCTAGTAAGTATCAAATGTTTGGTCTGAGGCCGAATTTGAACTCAGGTTTTCCTGACTTCAGGGCCGGTGCTCTATTCACTGTGCCACCTAGCTTCCCCTTAACTGAGGTATACTCTCACAATCTCCCTATTTATCTTGAGTATCAAGTCTCTATTAGTAATTTTTGTTCTGTCCTTCTCAGTCCAAAAATCATTTTCCTTGGCAAAAAACATAGAAAGAAAGAGGCGAGCAGGTCTACCACCAGTTAGCACTGCCATATCCTTCCCCTGGCAGGTCCTATTGCATCTTTGATTCTCCTCTTTTCCTCAATGTGGGGGGTGGGGAAGGGGTTGGGGGATGAGAGTGGGAGGACCAGAAGAGTCCTAGATGCTAGTCTGAGATCTACCAATGGTAAGTCAGTTTCTCTCAGTTTTCTCAATTGTCAGAAAGGGCAAATGGGCTCCCTTCTTTTCTCTCTTTACACTCTCTCATTGAGTGAACTCATAAGCTCTCATAGATTTAATTATCATCTGTACACAGACAACTCCCAAATCTAAAGATGTAGCACTTCCTGGTCTCTTCCTGAGCTCCTCCCTCACCTGTCTGGATATTTAAAATTGGGTGTCCAGTAGGCATCTCAAATGCAACATGTCCCAAAACTGAGTTCACTGTTTTTATTTTGATTTGTTTCACTAATTTTCTCAGAAGTAGGTGATTAATAAATGGTTGCGGAATGACTCCCAAATCTCTATCTTTAGGTCTGATATCATAAAGTCAAGTCTCAGATTTCCCACTGCTTGCTGGACGTAGACTTATAGGTTTGAGAGCTGGAATGGCCCTCAGAGGCCATCTAGTACAACATGCTCATGCTACAGATAAGGAAACTGTGGCTCATGGAGATAAAGTGACTTGTTCAAGACCACATGGCTACTAAGTTTAGAGCTAGGCTTTAGAACCCACATCTTCGGATTCAAAAACAAGAACTTTTTTTTCTTTAAACAATTTTTTTAAAATCTGTATTAACACCATGTGTTTTTATACCACCTTCATTTCCAAATAAACTCTTCTTCCCTCCCCTACCCAGCAAGTCATCCCTCACTGCCTCCAGGATCAAATACAAAATGTTTTGCTTGACCTTCAAAGCCCTTCATAACCTGGTCTTTCCTACCTTTCCAGTCTTCTTACACCTTACTCCCTACTTTTCCATCCAGTGACAGTGGCCTCCTGTTTGTTCCACAAACAAGACAATCCATCTCTTGGCTCTGGGCATTCTCTCTGGCTCACAATCTATTTATCTTGTTGAGTCCCCCATGTCCAGCATGCTCTTCCTCCTCCACTTGGACTACTGACCCCCCTGGTTTCCTTTAAGTCCCAACTACAATCCTACCTTCTACAGGAAGCTTTTCCCAACCCCTCTTAATTCCGGTGCCTTCCCTCTGTTATTTTTCATTTTATTATTTTTTTGAAGGCAATCAGGATTAAGTGACTTGCCTAGGATCTTACAGCTAGTAAGTTTCTGAGATTGGATTTGAACTCAGGTTCTCCTGACTCCAGAGCCGGTGTCTATCCACTAAGCTACCTAGCTGCCTGGAGCTCCTACAAGTTTTGAAGCAGTATCTCATACTACTCTCCTATGGGAACCTTCCATTCAAGCAAAACTAGCCTATTCACTATCCTGTGAACACTAGTCTTACTTAGTACACCTTTGCTATTGCCATTTTTCCTGACTAGAATACTCTCTTCCACTTATGCAAAATCTACTGTCCTGCCAAGTCCCAACTCAAGTCCTATCTTCTTTGTTTTTCAATGCATACAATTGTTTTGATACATTTGAACACAATTGCTTCCGACTCTACTCCAGTACTTTCACTTAAAAAAAAAAAAAAAACAAAACACTTCTGCCAAACCATATTAATGCACCACCTAGATCTGACAGCACATGGAGGACTCCAGATCACAGACTCAGAGATATAAAAGACCTAACTGATCATCCAGTTCAACCTTTTCAACTTTCCAGAAGAGGAAACTCAAGACCAGAGAGGTGAACTAGAACCAGAATTAGTTAGTAACAGAGGTGGGATTCAAACTCAGGTGCTGAATCCCTATCCACAACTCTTTCTACTACTTCACTTCCTACCTTCTCCAGGAACCCTCCCTCTAATTACTCCAGCTACACTGAGCTCTCCCTTCCTGAAGATCCTATTATGGTTCCAGTCAATACTAGTTAGTATCAAAGTTTCACAAGTGTTAGCTCTCTTTCCCTAGCTAAACTATATGAATCTTGAGAGCACAGACTGTGTCTTGTGCTTTTTTTAATATCTTCCAACAGGAAAGAGAGGGCATTTGACAAATACTTGTTGGCTAGCTAACTGATCCAAAGCCCTGTTCCCAGCTGTCTGTCAGGGACCCCACCCTCCCAAGAGGTCTCCACCCTCTTCTTCATTAGCACATGCTCTGTACTGGCCATATCAACAACCTAAGGCCAAGTGAGTCTTACCCAAGTAGTCAGGAACATGGCCAAGATGCGGCTTCACCACTGCAGGGTGCAGGGGCCGGTCATGTCGCAAGAGCTGTAAGTCTCTAGGGTTGTCCTCAAAGTAGGTCTGGAAGAAAGAGAAGAGGGATTACTGTGGAAGCCTATTTTTTTAAATTGCCTCTTTTATTGTGAACAGCATTTCAAAATGTAAAGAATAAAAAAGTAGGTTATATAAGAAACTGAACTTCTGTACAGCTTAAGTATATAAATATTAAGTTTACCAAGGCAGCAACAAAACTGCTCCATTTGGGTGTCCTTTTCTGCACTGTTGTCTTCCATTTTTTAAAAATGTTTTATTCATATTCTTTGTGGGGGGAGAAGGTTATCACAATCCACCTATGAACCAACCAGCTCCCCTCCCTGCTTTAGAATAAATACATACAGCTCAACCAAACCAAAGTTTAATCCTGTCTTATGTTCCATGGGCTGCCACATTGCTCCTAATGCCCTTGACTCATAAGGTCCCATTAAGCCCCACACAGCACCCAGAGTCCCCTCTGCAGCACACATGTCCACTCCTCACTACAAGAACACTGCCAGATCTCACCTCCTTTCTCATGCTCTCCACCCTTGAATGTGAGCCATCCTTCCTTACCTTAAGCTTGTCTGAGTGCAGAAGCTCCTCTTTAATCTCCTTCAGCCTGGCTTCCCGAATGGCTTGTTTTGTCACAGAGCGCATGGCATCCTGGGGAAAGGAGGACCATACTGGTGAGAGCAATGGCTAAGACAAGTGGTGCAATACTAAACCCATTACTATCCCTTGAACCTAAACCTGGCACCCCCAGCCCTCAGACAGGCACAGAATGCATGCCCCCAACTCACCCGGCAGCGGTATCGGAAGCCCTCAATCTCCTCCATCCGAAACTGGTAGGGAAGAAACATGGACTCTGCACTTTCTGTGGACAGAAGAACATGTGCGGTCCTAAAATGGCTGAAAGGCTTTAGCATCTAATGGGAGTACAGCAGCCAATCAAGAAACCAGCCCAAAGAAAGAAGGAAGAGAGAGTGAAAAGGCTTTTCTCCATAGGTTAGCTCTACCCCGTCCAATCTCTTATCCCGGTCGAGGAGGACAATGTCCCACCTTTTCTTTTTTTTGGTGCCACCGACTTTCCCCCAAATTCAACTGTAAACTTCCCATTAGACTTTCTCTGATCACATCACCCCAAACTTTTTAATTATGGTTATTCTTGCATCTCTACACTAAAACAGCCTGGGATGATTCCACTTCTTTCAAGCTGAGGACAAGGGAACCAAAAGCTGCCCTACAAGAAACGCCAGTTTTACCTCCCCCGAGGGCCTCCTCAATTTCTTTTAGCTGGGGACGTTCTGTGTGCAGGACAAAGGTCAGGGCTGTTCCTGGGTTGTTGGCACGTGCAGTCCTATGAAGAAAAGATGAATGTAGTCCACAATCCCCTTCACCTCAGGGCTTCCGCACACAGCCTGTCACCATACCTACCTGCCAGCTCGATGAATGTAGGCCTCAGGGGAAGGGGGGAGATCAAAATTGAGCACAGCTGTTACATTGTGGAAGTCAATGCCACGTGCCACACCTGATTCCGTATCAGAGGCCCTGTGGAGAAAATCGTTAAAATCAAACTGCTCCTTTTCCTTTAGAAGAGACACCATGTTAGTCCACTGTTTGAGAGTTATCAACACCTTAGATATGAAACACCAGGAAGAGATAATGCATTCTTGGAGCTCAACACTTCCTGAAATCAACTGTTTTCTCAAAATCTGCCCAGCCCTTTCCAAGGCTTCCCAGAAAAAAAATTCAGCATACTCTTCCTGCTGAAAGGCACAATGCTATAGTATATGAGGAACTAGCTTCAGATTCAGGACCACTTGAGTTCAAGCCTCACCTCTCTGACACATATTGGTTGTGACTCTGGTCAAGTCACTTAACTGACTGGAGGTAATACAAGGAACAGTTTGGTTTGGGTTGGCTGGTTAAGGTTTTTGATGTGCTATTACAGGCAAGACCAGTGGAGGAACAGGCTATTTGAGGCTTTGTCCTTATGCCCACTAAAGAAGAAATTGGCACAGCAGGCACAGACTATGATCTATCAGCTGACAGAATTCTGTGCCCAGGATGTGACACCAGCAAATCTATAAGCTACATTCTTTAGTAACAGGTTGCCTCAAATCTAATTCAAATTTTTCCTTTTTCTTTTCCATTTTTTTCTCAAGCTGACAATCCAATTTATATCACTTCCCCCCTACCCTAGAGCTAAGGACCAAAAGAACATTCACATATCCACAGCAAAGGTAACAGTTGGAAATGCTATGAAAAGTCACAAGAAAAACATAGTCCTCACCCCCATTTCATACATTCTAGAGTTTAGTTAGCATCCTGCCAAAAGACAGAAAAGACAGGTCTGTGGAAGTAGAGAACTAAGAAGTTTAGGGAGCTCCACGTCACCTCTCTCCTTTGGATCCTTGGCCCCGACGCTTGCCCTTAACAGGGGCCCCCAGCACTTCCTCATCAGTTGCAATGACACAGTCATAGAAGCCTTGGTTGAATTGTGAGATGATGTGGCACCTACAGCCAAAGACAGGATGTCAGGTCGGTTCTGTGGTACCTGGCAGTTGGCTCTTCATCAACCCCAAACTTTAAAGCTTTAGCCTCTCCCTGTTATTTTGGTTCCTTAACAGTCCCAGCTGTATAACTCCACTCCCTTATTCTTTCTATCACCTTGCACCAAACCACAAGGACTCTAAACCTGGAACGCAGAGGCAGCTCTCCATTGAGCACACAGGCAGGAATGCTGAACTGCTCCAGGAAAAGGCGAAGGCGGTAACCTCGTTCTAAGGTGTTAACGAAGAGTAGGGACTTGCCCCGCAACAAAGATAGCTTTAGCAGGGCATAGAGTAACAGGAATTTGTCCTCCTCTGTCTCACAGACCACTTGAAACTGCTGCAGCTGATCTGGCCCTGGAAGCTGGGATTCCTGCAACTTCAGGGTTACCTAGAGAGAAGGTAAAGTGAGGGTCAAACAAGTCACATAAGAAAGAGAAGAGACAAGTACTAACACAGAAATTTCCCAATCAACATGTAAAAACCATGTTCAATGTACAAACAGAATACTGAAATTCCTCCTCCCCAGGCCAATTTTTGACTGGGAAGATGATGCTGATAGACATTTGCAGAGTATTTTGAAGTTTGCAAAGCATTTTTACGTGCATCAATCATCAATAAACATTTATTAAGTACCTGCTACTCACCAGTCACTGTGCTAAAAACTGGGAATACAGATAGTTCTTGCTTTACGTAAATTTGCATTACACAATTGTGACTCCCCAGAAGTGTGCAGCAGTGGCAGCATGAGTGCAGCCCTGTACCAGGGGTCCTCTGCTCCAGACACTTTAGCCACTCCTGCCACACAGGCTACAAGGTACAGAACCACAGAGGTGAGCTCCTGCAGGAGAGGGAGAGGTCTGCAGAACAGTCCACCTCCCTTAAGCAAGAACTGGCTGTACAAAGAGGCAAAACAATCTCTAACCTCAAGGAGCTTATAATCTAATGGGGAAGACAACAGGCAAACAAATATAGAAAAAACAAGCTGCATATAGGATAAACAGGAAATAATTAACAGAAGGAAGGTACTGGAATTAAGAGGGGTTGGGGAAGGTTTTCTATAGAAGGTGGGATTTTAGTTGGGACTTAAAGGAAGCCAGGGAGATCAGTAAACAGAGTTGAGGAGGGAGAGCATCTAGACAGGGGAGACAGGCAGAAAAAATGCCCAGAACCAAGAGATGTCTTGTTTGTGGAACAGCTAGGAGGCCACTGTCACTGTACTGAAGGGTGTATGTCAAGAAGTAAGGTGTAAGAAGACTTGAAAGGTAGGAGACGGCTAGGTTACGAAGAGCTTTGAATAAATGCCAAACGGAGCATTTTGTGTTTCCTCAGGGAGATAATAGGAAGCCAATGGAGTTTAATGGGGTGGGGGGAGGTTGACATGATCAGATCTGCACTTCAGGAAAATCACTTTGGTGGCTGAATGAAGGCTGTACTGGGGTAGAGAGAGACTTGCAGAAGACAGAGCTACCTGCAAGGCTATTGCAGTAATCTATGTGTGAAGTGATGAGGAGCAATACTAGAGTGGTAACAAAGAGAGGAGGGGGCACATTCAAGAGATGCTGCAAAGATGAAATAATGGGTCTTGACAACAAATTGGATTGGCAGGGGTAGGGAAAGACAGTGAAGAGTATAGGATGACTCCTAGATTGCAGGCCTGAGGGATTGAGGATGGTATTTCTCTCTACAGTAATGAAGAAGATAGAAGGGAGGGAAGGATTTAAGGGAAAAGATAAATTCCATTTTAGACATACTAAACTTAAAATGTCTTCTTGGAAAACCGGTTTGAGGCATCTGAAAGGCAGCTAGAGATCTGAGGTCAGCAGAAAGATATTGAGCAGGATAGGTAGATTTGAGAATCATCAGCACAGAAATGGTAATTAAATCCATGGAGCTGATGAGATCACCAAGTGAAGTTGTATTTAAGCCTTGAAACCACTTTGGGAGGTAGAAACCATTCATGGTATTATGACCATTGCAAAGATGAAGAAATTGAACCTCAAAGAGGTTAACTGACTTGCCTAAAGGCATACAGTTAGAAGAGAGAGCAACATGGTATATAACTATATTTACAATGTAGTTAGGGTACAGCTGAACTAGTACTGACTGCTGGTTATTGTGAGAGAGGAGGCCCCAGGTTGAAAAAAGATGGGAACCACTGCCACAGGCTTTACATGAGAACCCTTTCCCTTTGAAGGAAATATTAAGGTTGGCAGTGAGGGACTTTGGGAGAATTCTCTTGTCTTTGCCAATTCCAAATCCTCCCTCTATTGTGTCTCACCGGATTATGCAATACAAGCTCCTTGAGGGCCTGAACATCTTCATTAAAAGTAGCTGACATGAGGAAGGCCTGGTATATCCGAGGCAGGTGGCTGCAGAAGATCACAGAACAGTCAGGTTCCATCCTGGGCATTCAACAAACAGCTAGAGTTCCCACAGTCACCCCTATAATCCACCCTGTAGCCTCCAGGGCACTCAGTAATGAAATTTCATCCCTACTCTCTACCCAAAGCCCTTCCTCCCAAGATGCAACAATCCCTTACTCCTACCAAAGAAGGGTCTTAAGCTCTTCTTCAAAGCCAAAGGAAAAAAGCAAGTCAGCCTCATCCATTACAAGCAGCTCCAAAGAGTCACGCAAATTCAAGTTTCCCTGAAGCAGATGACTTAGCACTCGTGATGGTGTGCCCACTACCACATCTGGCTTCTCCATTAGCAAGGGCCTACAGGAAGGTAAAAAACTTGTATCAGGGTAGAAATATGCAAAATGTACAAACCCAAAGGAAATTAAAGAGATACAACTGGAAAGCAAGCACTCCATCACTATCCTTAATCCTTTACCTCTAGATGACTTTCTCCTAATTTCATTCCTTTCACCCACCTTTGAAAAGCAAAGTCCTCTGAAGCCGACACATCAACCACACGAACATCCCGGGCACAATATGCTGTCAGCTGACGGATCATGGTCTGTGCCTGGCGTGCCAGCTCCTTGGTGGGTACAAGAACAAGGCCTCGAACAGCCTGTTCTACCACTGGTCCTGTCTGTAACAGCACAAGTTAAGGACCTTAGTCAGCCAACCCAAGTCATACTGTCCACTTCATCTCTTCCTTGTATTATTAGCTTCAGTCAACAGTGGCCACCCCCCCCTACAAAAATGGAAACTTACATGTGCTCTCCAAAAGCAACCTGATTTCTCCTTCATAACCGCTATAAGTCATACAGAACCTGACTCCCTTCAGTCACTGTCACATGACTGGGTTACCCTTCCCTTGGCTTGATTCTATTCAATATTTAAAAGACATTTATAAAGACATCTAAAAAGTATTAGGATCTTTCCTTCACAAACCAACATAGATCATACATAACCTGACACTATCCCTTCACTGTCACATGATTACCCTAGCTGTAGCTTAATTCTATTCCATATTTAAAAGTGAAGAATGACCTTACAGCTTTCAAAGAGTCCCTACGGATCCTTGACATAGGACTCCATAAATGAGGTTTACTAAGGGTCTGCTGGAGGCAGCTTAAAATGGCACAGCTGATAGTTAAACTTCCAACCTGAGCACTGGTGCCGCTGAAATCCACAAGCTACAAATAAGGCCTTAAATTGCTTTTATCAATTTTCTAACTTGAGAATATATTAAAAATTCAGGTTAAACTTAAAAGCAGGTGCGGGATTTTCAGACATTTACCACCACCCACTTGCTTGCAACTATGGTACCAAGTGAGACCCCAACTCCTCCTTTCTCTGTGAGCCTTTAGGATCACAGATTTGGGGCAGAAAGGGCTCTAAGAAGTTATGTAGTCCACCCCACCTCGTTTCACAAATGAAGAAACGGAGGCACAGTAGTGGTTTAGTAACTTGCCCAGGGTCACACCTGCAGTAAGAAATGGGACTTAGGTGGCATGGGGAGGACAAGGAATGTCCTTGTTAAGGAATGTTCCTTAACAACAGGAAGTTGTTAAAACACCTCACTGGAGAACTTCTTTCCTCACCCTAAGGGCCCAGGTTGTCATACCGCCTTCCTATGAAGCAGATGCTGCAGCAGGGGGATGGCATAAGCAGCGGTCTTCCCCGAGCCGGTGCGGGCCCGAGCCAACAGATCCTTCCCCTCCAGCGCCAGGGGAATGGCCTTCTCTTGGATGAGCGTGGGCCGAGCCCAGCCTTGCTCTGCGATGGCCTGGGAGAGGACAGAGGCAGAGAACGGTGGGGAAAGGAGGGAAAAAGAGAGCTCCGGCAGGAGAAGGAACAGAAGGCCGGGCCAGGTCAGCGCCGGGCCGGACACCGTCAGATGGGGCGGTCCGCGGAGTCGCGTCTTCGGGGAAGGGTTCCAGGAGCCAAGGAAAGAGATGACCAAAGCCTGCCCCCCGATCTTGCCCTTACACTCGCCCCCCTGCGCCCCAGTACCTGTAGGAGCCGAGGGTCCAGCCCCATGTGCTCAAAGCCCAAAACTTCGGAAGCCGCCATGCCGCCACGAAACAACAACACGCATGTGCGGCAGGAAGTCCTTGCCCCACGCCGAGATGAGGCAGAGGGCCGGGAGGCGGAGCTAGAGCACTGCCCAATCAGATTGGGGATAGCGGCCTCACTCCCGGAAGTACACAATGCGCTAGGGGCCCGACCGGGTTCTATTGCCAACTGGGTCTGGTCGATCTTGGTTCCGAGGGAGCGGGGGCTCACTTCGCCTTCTGTTTCCTCTACAAAAAGGCGATTTGGCAATGAGAAAGTGCAAATCCCCTCAGCTCACAATGGGATGTCAGACCCGAATTCGTATCTGGCCTCAGACGCGAACTAGGTGTGTTTAATTGCTGTTTGCCTCAGTTTCCTTATCTGTAAAATAATAATGGCTAACGTGTATATAGTGCTTACTATGTGCCAGGCACTGTGCTAAGTGCTTTACAATTATTATCTTATTTCATCCTCACCGCAACCCTGGGAGGTAAGTGCTATTATTATCTCCATTTTACAGATAAGGAAACCGAGGCAAACTGGTTAATTGACTATCCCAGGGTCACACAACTGGTTAGTATCTGAGGCTGCATCTGAATTCAGGTCTAACTGACTCCAGACCCAGCACTCTATCCACTATGCCACCCTGGAAATAATAATAGCAGCTACCTCCCAAAATTATTGTGAGGATAAAATAAGTTACTTGTAAAGCACCTTGAAAACCTTAAAGCAGTATATAATAGTAGCTATTATTATATCACAGATCTAGAGGTGAAAGGGAACTCAGAGGTCATCCAGTCCATCCCCCTATTTTCCAATCATGCAGCAGCTAGGAAGTCTAAGATTGCCTACACTTAAATCCAGGTCATCTGACACCAAGTCTAGTGCTTTTCCCACAGGGCCATGCTGTTTCTCACTAAGAGTTTGTTCCCAATACATTGCTGATTTTCCAGAGTTTGGTAAGAAACTGAGGCCCAAAGAAGTTAAATGACTTGCCCAAGAATTCAGAAATAATAAGTGGCAGTCAGAATTTTAAATGAAGGCCTGACTGCAGAGTCTGAGCTCTTCACACTACTACACTGACCTCTAGACCCCTATACAATTGCTCTTACTTGGGTACTCCACCCTTCCTTTTCTATCTATCCTTCCTAAAATGTCTATTGACTATATCCAAAAGCTGGGGACAGATACCATGACTCCCTCACCCATTTGCAACAACTCCTCAGCCTCCACTTTAAAAAAATTTTTTTTTTTCAATTAACAAAATCCTACCTTTTCTCCCTACCCAGTTCCCACCCCCATCGATAAAGGAAGAAAAACAAAACTCTTGTAACAAATATGCATAGTCAAGTAAAACAAATTTTTGCTTTGGTCATGTACAAAAAATAGGTCTCAAAATGCACCCTGAGTGCATCACCTTTCTGTCAGGTGAGGGGTAGCATGGAATTGTGATTGGTCATTGCATTGATTAGAGTTCTTAAGTCTTTCAAAGTTATTTGACTCTACAGTGTTGTTAATGTAAAAACTGTTCCCTTGGTTCTGTTCACTTCCCTCTGCACCATTTCATACAAAGTTTTCCCAGGTTTCTTTAAAACTGTTCCCTTCATTTCGTACAGCACAATACCTATTGCATTAGTCACATACCACAATTTGTTAGCCATTTCCCAATTGATGGGCATCCCCTCAGTTTCCAATTATTTGCCACCATAAAAAGAACCATTACATCTTTTACACAGGAGTCCTTTTCCTCTTTCATTGATCTCTTTGGGGTATAGACCCCAAATAGTATAGTACTATTTACTACTCAAGGGTAAAGTATGCAGTTTGATGGCTTTGGGGGCACAGTTCCAAATTGCTTTCCAGAACAACCTGACCAGTTTGCAGTTCCACCAACAATGGAAGACATATCTGTATTTCCACAACTCCTCTGGCAAATCTGTCATTTCCTTTTTTTGTTTACTATGCCTATCTGCTGGGTGGAAGGTGGAACCTTAGAGTTGCTTTAACTTGCACTTAGTTATTAGTGTTTTGGAACATTTTCTTCACATTGCTATTGATAACTTGAATTTCTTCCCTTGAAAACTACTTGTTCATATCCTGTGACCATTTATCAATTGGGGAGTGGTATTCCTTCTTATAAATTTGAAGCAGTTCCCCATATATCTTGGAAATGAGATTTTATTAGAGAAACTTACTGCAAAAGTTTTCTCCCAGTCGTTTTCCTTCTAATTTTAACTATATGGTTTTGTGTAAAAACTTTTAAATTTTCTGTCTTCAAAACTCTTCATTTTGTTCACGATCCCCTATCCACAGATGTGAAAGGTATTTTCATCCTTATTACTTTAATACGTTACCCTCCACTTTTCTCTACTCAACTAATGCCCTGAGGAGCAAGCAATGCACTTTCCCCTACCTATCTGCAATTTTTAGAAAACAAAGGTGTCTGAGTACTCTCTGATACTTCCATAGGAAAGAAGGAAATAAGCATTTATTAAGCACCTACTATGTGCCAGGCACTGTGCCAAGCACCTTACAAATATTATCTCATTTGATCCTCACAACAATCCTTCAGGGTAGGTGCTATTATTATTATTTTATAGTTGAGGAAACTGAGGCAATCAGAGGTTAAGTGATTTGCCCAGGGTCACACAGCTAGTAAGTGTCTAAGGATGAATTTAACTCCAGTCTTCCTGATGCCAGCACCCTATCACCAGCTGCCAATGAAACACATCCCTTTCCAGTTCTCCTGAGATGATCATGTCAACCATTCTGTAAAACCTAAATACTGTTCACGTTATCTATCATTACACTGGTGTCCCTGAACTGTAAGGCTGTGGGGATGGGTTGTGGCACTAATTTTTGACAGCAATGAAAAGCATGACAAAGGGGCAGCTAGGTGGCGCAGTGGATAGAGCACTGACCCTGGATTCAAGAGGACCTGAGTTCAAATCCCACCTCAGACACATAACACTTACTAGCTGCATGACCCTGGGCAAGTCACTTAACCCCAATTGCGCCCCCCCCCCTCCAAAAAAAAGCATGGCAAAGCAGACTTGCCTGGGCAGCCTAAAGCAGCTGGATTTGGAGGTGAGGGAGCTAAGTGAGTGGAAATAACTACCTGAGTGAGACGGAAGAACATAGTTTGGGCCCCAGCCACCCTTCCTAAATCAGGCTCAGAATGTAGAACTAACAAGATAAAACTGCAGTGAATAGGTAGCCCAATGGAAGCCTAAAGGTGAAGGGCAATAATGTAAGCCACAGCAGAAACAACTGAACTAGACAGATAGAGTAGCTGCTGAACCATGAAAAGAATGTGATTTAGAGGTTTATGAACAACACAGGTAGATTAAAGGAACAAAAAGGTCAAGGTGGAGAAGCAGCTCTTGGGACAGCTACTCAGGCCAAACCCCTGGGAAAATATCTGAATGTTTAGTAGGATATTGTTTTCCAATCTTTGAAAGCCAATGACATACCTGCAAACCACATGGAAACACATCAGGACAGAGGTCTCTCTCCCTCCTCCCTAATGAGCTAGCCCTCTAAACCCCCCTACAATATATGTAAACATTCACAAGCTTATTCTTAAAGGTTACATTCCAGGGGGCAGCTAGGTGGTACAGTGGATAGAGCACTGGCTCTGGATTCAAGAGGACCTGAGTTCAGATCCCACCTCAGACACATAACACTTACTAGCTGCGTGACCCTGGGCAAGTCACTTAACTCCACTGTCTAGACAAAAAGTTACATTCCAATACTTTAGTAGCATGGCAGTCACCATGGCTGCTCAAAGCTCATGCCACATGAGTTCTGAAGACCCTATTAAGATAGAAAGACCAGTACAGTAATGGACTAGCATGAAATGTCCGACCTAGGTAAGTTGAGAGGATCATTGCCATACATTTGGCCACCAAGATTTTGTAAAAGGACTTCACAAAACCATCTACTATGGTACCAAGAAGTACCTGCACTGGTGGAAGCCCCTGACAGAATCATGGCTTTTCTTAAGTATATGCCTTCCTCCATCACCTGTTGGTCAAAAATTAGCAAAGCAAGGATACCCAGGACATGGTGATGTACCAGCTTTTCTGAGATTTATCTTAACATTCTAACTTGCTACTTGCAAAACTGGTCTAACCCTGTCTCTACCATTTAACTGGTAATTCTCCCTCTTTCCAAAAAGCCAGGATAAGGAGAGTTCACTTTGAACTCATGATATCTACGAACAGTATTAAAGTTTTGTCTTCTTTAAAACAAAACTAAGTCATAAGCCATATAACCCATAAATCTGCCATGCCTCAAACATCTGAAATAGGACAAATTATGAGTATTCTAGGATGAAGGAGGTTTGGTACGATCTACCCAGAATGATTCCAAAAGGCTGAGACTGAGGAGACTACCCAGGCAAATACCAGCCTCTTAGACGTGGTCCTAATTCTAATTGAGCCCTTAGGTATGTTTCTTCCAAACTGGGAGGGTCTCAAGAGTTTTAAGATCAGCTCCAAGTCATCCTTGGGATTATTTCATACCAAGTTTCCTATACTCTACTATTGTGCTTGGTTTCTGGTCTGGTAAGAACTTTTATTTCATCTCAAATATCACAAGTTACCAGAACAGGTTTTATTTCACTGGAAAATCCATACAAATAACTGAACCTGGGACCCATGGAGAAAATATTTACTGCATCTTAAATAAAATTTAACAGTTAGCAGCTCTGTGGGGGAAAGAGAGAAGAAGGGAAGAAAATTGACTGCCTCCAACTGCTCACTCCACAGCTTCCTACCTTAACTTCATATCCCCTTAAGGGGCTCAAAGTGTCCAAAGGGGCCTGTGCATGACTTACAGGCAAGGCCTTATTAGCAATAGGCTGAAATGTCTGCTTGGGTCCCTACCTTCTAGAATTTTCATTGAAGAGTCTTAGGGCTGCCACAGTAGTTATAAAAAAAATGTACACATAGACAGTACTAAAGACTGTCAGTTCTGCATTGATCTTTTCAACCACTCTTACACACAGGCAGTGACATTTCAGATATGAAGGATAAAATACACATATCAAAAAATATTTGTTATATTAGAAAAATCTCATTCCCTTGGTATCTAAGACCTGCCAACTTATTTACAGTCACAGATCATCTCAGTAAAGGCAGGACTAACTGGACAGTGGTGAGGCTAGGGTGTCCTATTCGTGGCACTTCAGTTACACACGACATAGGCACAGTGAAAGAAAATCAGAAATTAAGGGAGCCGGTGAGTGGCCTTTGCTTATTTACTTAATCAATGGGCTAGCAGAGATGACTGGACATGGAAAAAGGCAGGCCATGAAATCAAGGCTATGTTCTGATTAGCTCAACGTCTTCCCAGAATACAGAAGGAACTTTGTGTAGGCTTTGACCAGTATCCGATGACCTTTGCTAGGGGATACGGGGTTAGTTTCTGTGTAGTCCAGTGGCTACTAACCTCAGCCTTATTGGTGTGGCTGCCATGGAACTAAAGGAGCATATATTCTCAAATTTTTTTTTTCATCCAAAATCCAAGTAGCCAGGGTGTGATAGAGGGAAAGTACCAAGTAAGTGGGCTGAAAGGAAAGGGGTTGTACAGGAAAGGACTTTACACCAGCTTTTTGGCCTCAAAGAAACTTTTGAGGTGTCGCATCTGCCAGATGCCAGTGAGGATGAGGATGACAGTCTGAGCAATGGACCACCACAACACTCTCTGGTTGGTGCTCTCGCTGGTCATACGGAAGCGTTCCTCACGGTACTGTAGGAAACATGAGAGATATCTAAGTAGCCATAGGGAATGGACACTTCTCATTTATAAGATTAAGGCAACACAGTTCCTCCCTCTATATTATAATCCTATTCCAGGAAAGAATACAATTATTCCTGCCATGTGGAATACTAGAATCCTGAAGGTTTCCTATTTGTTTTTCAAAGAGGCCTTGAGGCTGCAGGTTCCCCACCCCTCATTTTTGATCAATCCCCTCATTTGTAAAATGGAGAAAGTGGGGCCAGAGGGATGACATGACTTGTCAGAGGTAACACATTAATTAGAGTCAGTTAGGACTAGAAACTTGGACTAGAAACTCAGACTAGGAACTCTAGAATCTTAGTTTAGTGCTCTTCCCACCATATTACACTAACTTTTATTGCCTTTGGTTCAAAGAGGTTCAGCTCCTCCCCACTTCAACTTCCTACTATAATATCCCTGCACTGTAACTCCAAAGGTTTTGAGTTGCAATGTCAACATCGGAAAAGAGATCAAGCTCCCTTAGGTTCAAAAGCAGGCCCAAAGAGGACCCAAAGAGTTACTGCTCTTACCAGGTTTTGAGTTGCCTCTTTGTTGGAGGCCTGACTTTCCACAACAGTAATAATAACAACAATAATCACATTTATATAACACTCTAAAAGCGCTTTCCTCACAAAAACCCCTTAAGGTAAGTAATGGAAATATTATCCTCATTTTACAGATGAGAAAACTGAGGCCCAAAGTGACTTTTGCCAGTCACAGAGGTAGGAAGTATAAGAGCCTGAACTCAAATTTAGATCTTCTGATAACAAGTCTAGTGCTCTTCCCACTATGCCATGCTATTTCTCATTAGAGTCTGTTCCCAACATGTTACTAACTTCCCAGAGTCTGGGAAGAAACTAAACATCAGCTTTTAGGTTCTGGCTGAATAGGAAGCAATCAGCTTCCACCCAGGACAAGGCACCGCCCTTACCCGCTGGTAGTTCTGTTCCTTTTGGATCTGTTCCACCTGATCAAGCAACTGGCGGGCACGGAGTTGTAGTTCTGTTAGTTTATCCTTGGCAGCAATTTCAGGGTAGTTGTTGGTATGCTCGCCAACCTGTATATCCAGATGTACCCTCTAGGTAAAAAACAAACATACACAAGGTCAGGACCAGGAGTCCAAGCAGATCACACCATTCTGATCTCTGAGGGATAAGGCCTCAGAGAACGTATATGTAGTCTCTAAAGATTTGCTAACCTAGGCATTCAAACAGTCCTAATGAGTACATTAAAAACACCATTACTATATGTATCAGGAACACTAGTTCCTGGATAGGAAATTTCTCAACAGTCTTAATGCCTCTCTCCTTAGCAATATGTCATATGTGAAGATAAAAGCAACCCCCACCTTCCATTCAGAATAGGGAACAGATCTGGGGGAAACAGTAATCCTTCAAAGGGGCAGATTCCCTTACTAGTTTGCCGCCCGCAAAGATGGTCATTCGAGTAGAATTGGAGTGCAGGCAGATCTGGTGGTCACCTGGAGTATGGGAGGTAAAGGTGAATCGGCCTTCCGAACCATACTGCCGTGATAACACCACCTGCAAAAGAGTGACAATGAAAACCTAACCCAACCAGCCTCTCCCATCCTCATTCTGGCCCATAAGCCTAATCATTTCACACCCATGGCTCAAAGCCCTTAAATGGCTCCCCAGTACTGACCTAATAAAGTCCAAATATCCAAAGCCCTCTTCACCCTGGTCCCAACCTACCTTTCAGAATTTATGTTCCACTACTCTTCCTACAATCCAGCCAGACTGAACTACCTGCTCTTCTTGGAAAAAGTCTTGTTCTCTGCTCGATGCCTCTACTCATGGTCTACTTTCCATCTGAAATGTCTCTCTTCCTATGTAAAACTACAAAAATCCAAGCTATCCTTTAAGGCTCATCTCAAATGTTATGTCTTAAAGGAAGCCTCTCTCTTCTGGTACCTCTAACAAGATATAATCTCTTCTTCCTCCGAACTCCATAGCATTTCATTTGTCTCTCACTAATAACATATAACATTCTTAAATTACAATTGTGTATTCATGTTATCCTTCCCAACTAGTTTTAAGTTCCTGGCAAGCAGAGACCATGTCTTACTCATCTCTGCAACTCCCACTATGGAACTGCATGTAGCAAATAGTCAAAAAATGTTTTCAAACTAAACAGAACCAACCCCAAAATTCTGAGGTCAATGGTGACCCCAAGGAAGCCAACTGTTAATGCCGACTCTCCGCCATACAATGTTCAGTTTAGGATATGGAGATTCCTATATGGAAGCTATCCTTTATGTAGACCAAAGACCAGTTCAATGCACTAAATACTTGTTAAGTGCCCATTGTGTGCCAGACACAGTGGAAGATACTAAGGACTAAAAAACAAAATAAAAATAGTCCCTGCCCTCAAAAAGGTCAACTTTTCTTCAGAAGGGTGAATATTATGTATAGAGATAAACATAAGGTACACATAATTGTAAAATACAGGTAATTTCTGAGACTAATAAATGGGGAAATCAATAAAGATCTCTTGTAGGAGAATTATAAAAAGCACTTAAGCTAGGGAATAGTCTTTTTTTTTGACTAGGCAATGGGGTTAAGTGACTTGCCCAGGGTCACACGGCTAGTAAGTGTTATGTGTCATGTGTCTGAGGCCGGATTTGAACTCAGGTCCACCTGACTTTAGGGCCGGTGCTCTATCCACTGTGCTACCTAGCTGTCCCTAGGGAATAATCTTAACAGGGGATCTATGACCTTATTTTTAAAAAATGTTCTGATAACTGTATTTCAATATAATTTATTCTCTTTTAATCCTATATATTTTATTTCTTTAAAACCATTATTCGCATGAGGGGTCCATAGGCTTCATCAGCCTGCCAAAAAGGTTAGATCCACTAACTTAAACTGAGGCTTGTAAGGAGCACTTAAGCTGAGCCTGGAAGGGAGCTAGGGCATACAAGAGGCTGAGGTAAAGAAATGCATTTCAGATACTGGTTACAGACTGAAAAGGCAGAGAATCAGGAGACAGAAATACCCTGCAACAGGACCAGCAAGTGGGTCTCACCTTTCCATCTGGATCCTTCACTTCCACATGCATCCCCAGTCCTGGGGTGGAAGGCAGGAAGGTCTCTGTCTGCTTATCCCATAGCTGGGTGCGGTAATTCCCTGCAGGGCAGATGAGTTCTCTATCACAATACACCTAGCAACAGCGAGGCCCCCAGAACACTTGTCCCACAGGGACTGAATGTTACCGGATGGGTGGGGGTGGGGGGGAGCCTGGAGAAGGGCCCCCTTCCGAGGACAAGTTAACACTCTCGGGCCGCCTCAAGGAGGTGAGTATGGGGGCCAGAGGGAGGCTGCACCCATGGAGACAGGGAGTAGGGGGAGATGAAGAGATCCAGTCCGGGGAAGGGGCCAGTGCCAAGAGGTGGTGTCTTTTGGAGGCGGAAGGTCAAAGGTCAGAGACGGGGTCAGAGTCGGGGCCGGCGCCGGGGTAGGAAGTGAGGGGCTGCCCCCCACCCCAGTGCTAACCGATAACCATGGTCTCGTCGGGGATTTCCTCGATGAAGCAGCGTTTCTCCGTCTCTCCGATATGGAAGTAAAGCCCCTGCACTGAAGCCAAAGCCAGCCAGAGCAGGAGCAGCAGCGCCCGGTGCCACATCGCAGCCCGCAGTCGCCTGGCCCAAACACCTGCCATAGCTGACGGCCCAGCCGCCCAGCGCGCCTGCGCAACGAACCATCGCGCAGGCGCTTCCCGCCCAGGACCGCTCCAAGGCAACTCCTCACACAGCTACTGCCGGACAGAGCAGGACATGCGCACTGCTGCTCTGCCCTCCTCACCCTTCCCAGTCGCCCTTCTCAGAAACGATTGAGCCTGCGCAGAATCCTCCGCTCTCCACAGCAGGGAAGAAATTTACGGGTACGTTGACCATGGAGTGAGCGGTTCTTATTACTGGCTCAACGCGCCGTGGAGTATTGAGTTGAACTTAGTGTTAGAATTAGTTGGGCAGCCTGACCCGAGCAACGCTGCCATGGCAACGGGCGGACCATGAGAGAGGAACCCTAGAGGTCTTGTAGTCAGTCAACCAGCATTTATTAAATTTATTATGTGCCTGGCACCTAAGTCTAGGAGGCAGCCAGGTAGACTACCGTGGATAGAGCACTGCAGGCCTGGAGTCTGAAAGACATGAGTGCAAATCCAGCCTCACACACTTATTAGCTGTGTGATACTGGGCAAATGACAATGGCTGCCTTAGTTCCTTCTTCTGTAAAATGGGAATAAAAATAATAGCACCTACCTCCCAGGGTCGTTGTAAGGTTCAAAGGACATAATTCTCGGATGTTTAGCACGGTTGCTGGTACATAGTAATAACCACATAAATATTAGATATTATTATAACTTCAAACAATTATAATAAGCACTGGATTTAGTCCAGTCTCCTTGCTTTGCAGACGAGGAAACTGAAGCCCAGATGGCTGAGTGATTTGTCCAAGGTCCAGGGCTGTCCTAGAGCTAGCTCAAACAGGCTCACCAGAATTGAAATTTTGTGTCAGCCAAAAACCTCAAACACTTACTTTATTATTTTGTTGAATATCTAGACATAAGAATGATTTTTAACATGTTAATAGTACCAATTAAACTTAAAGGTGTGTCCTGCAGTACTTTTTTTTGGAGAGTCAGTTGTTAAACATTTCCCAGCACACAATTGCTAAGGTTTTTCTGAAGTCTGCCTGCTGCATTATATTATCAGTTAAATTTCATAGGATCATAGAGCTAGAAAGAAAATCAGAGGCCAGCTAGTCCAACCCCCTCATTTTGAAGATAATAAAGCAGAAGTCAAATGCCGTCAATTGGACCTGGAAGAAATCAGGAAACAGTGCTGACAGAATCTAAGACATATGTGTTGTCTGATCTCCAATCCTACTCCTTCCCAAATGATTCTCCACACCACAGCAGTCTTTCAAACCTTACCTTACCTCTTCTCTCCTCAAGTCTCCCACTGTACTTTCCCAGTGCTCTCATCTGAAGACATGTCCTCCTACTGTAATCCCTGTTGTCATGGGACTCTTTTCTTTTTCTTTTTTTTTTTTAGGCATTTGGGGTTAAGTGACTTGCCCAGGGTCACACAGCTAGTAAGTGTCAAGTGATTGGGCTGAGGCTGGATTTGAACTCAGGTCCTCCTGACTTCAGGGTGGGTGTTTTATCCCTGCGCCACCTAGCTGCCTCCCATAGCTCTGTTTTAGGAAGATAATGTTGATAACTATGGATGGACTGGAGTAAAGACAGATGTGGGGCAAACAGGCCAACCAGAAGATTATTGAAATAGTCCAGGTGTGAGGTGATGAGGGGTGGTGGCAGTATCAGAGGAGCAAAAGGGCTGAGCATAAGAGATGTTTTGACATGGCAACACATTGGATATAGGGGATGAGCGAGAGTGAGGAGTCAAAGATAACATTGTGGTTATGCACTTAAGTAACTGGAGGGATGACTGTCCCCTTAACAGTAATAGAGAAATTAGAAAGATGGTAAGGTTTAGGAGGAAAGATAATGAATTCAGTCTTGGACTTGTTGATCTTAAGATATTTATGGTATTTCTAGTTCAAGATCTCTAGTAGACAAGATTCTTAGCTGACGGTCTAGGGAGAGGGATCTATAGGAGGCTCATGGAAGGATGAAAATATTTGGAAAACTTCTGTGCTGAGTGGGATACTGAATTAATTGTTGTTCAGTTGTTTCAGTTGTATCCAACTCTTTGTGACCCTGTGAACCTCTATTCATGGGTTTGTTTTTTGTTTTTTGGGTTTTTTGGGGCAATTGGAGTTGTGACTTGCCTAGGATCACACAGCTAGTAAGTGTCAAGTGTTTGGTCTAAGGCTGGAGTTGAACTCAGGCCCTCCTGACTTCAGGGCCGTTGCTGAATCCACTGAACCACCTCGCTGCTCGGGACCCTTTTCTAATTGATGGGATTGAATACTCTTCCTTTGGTGAAGGATATGAGGGATTGGGAGGTTGGGCAGAACTGATGAGAGCCTTCCAGGTTCAGTGCTTGACTAGTCTTCCTTTCTAGAGGAAAGATGAATGATGTCAACTCTAGGTTACTGAAGGCAAAGACTCTGGGAAGACAGTCTCCATCATGTCCCTGTCCCTAGTTCACTACACTAGAGACTTCAGTGGGAATTTTCCCTTGGGTGAGATCCAGAAATCTCTCTTTGGGTTGAGCTGAGAGGGGCAGCTAGATGGTACAGTGGATAGAACACCAGCACTGCTTTGACCCATCAATACCACTTCTAGGGTTGTATCCCAAAGAGATCATAAAAATGGGAAAAGGACCCACACGTACAAAAATATTTATAGCAGCTTTTTCTGTGGTGGCAAAGAATTGGAAATTGAGGGGATGCCCATCAATTGAGGAATGACTGAACAAGTTGTGGTATATGAATGTAATGGAATACTATTGTGCTAGAAGAAATGATGAGCAAGCAGACTTCAGAAAAACCTGGAAAGACTTGTATGGACTGATGCTGAGTGAAGTGAGCAGAACCAGGAGGATGTTGTACACAGTAACAGCCGCGTTCGATGACTAATTTTGACAGATGTAGCTCTTCTCAGCAATGCAAGGATCTAAAACATCTCCAAAGGTCTCATGATGGAAAATGCTATCTACATCCAGAGAAAGAGCTATGGAGTTTGAGTGCAGATTGAAGCATTCTATTTGCTCTTTTCTTCCCTTCTGTTTTGTTTTGTTTCTTCTTTCTTGTGGTTCCTCTTATTGGTTCTAATTCTTCTTTACATTACTAATGTGAAAATATGTTTAATAGGAATGTATATGTAGAGCCTATATCAGATTGCACGCCATCTTGGGAAGGGAGGGGAGAAAATTTAAAACTTAAAAGCTTATGGAAGTGATTGCTGAAAACTAAAAATTAATTTAAAAAATAAAAATAAAATAAAAAATAAATTAATGATCAATTCAGCATCCTTCTTCACATATTCTTGATAGCATCCCCTCCTGTCTTCTCGAGTAGATTGACTGCACTATCATCCCTTAATCCCTCCTTCTCTACCTGTTCCTTCCCTAATCCCTACAAACACAACAATCTGCAAAGAAGTCAAGAAAGATGAGGACTGAGAAAAGGCCATTACATTTGCAATTAAGAGATCAGTAACTTTGGAGAAAACAATTTTAGTTGAATTTTGAAGTCAGAAGCTATATGTGAGAGTTAGGAAGAGAATGAAATAAAAGGAAGTAGAAGCACCTATTGTAGGTCTTCTCAAGGAGTTCCCACAAAAAGGAAGGAGAGATCTTGGATGACAGTTAGCTGGGATGATCAAGTGACAGTTTGTTTTTTGTTTTTTTTAGGATAAAAGGAACATGAGTATGTTTGTAGACAGTAGGGAAGTAGCCAATAGACAGAGAGAAATTTAAGATAAAAGAGAGTGGGGATCATAAGAGGGAGGGGGCGAGTGTCTCTGCTAGAGAGAACAAACTGGAATGGGATCACTTGTGCATATAGAGAGTTTGCCTTGGCAAGGAGAATGGCCCTCTTAAAGTGAGATAGGGGTGAAGGAGGGAAGGGCAGAAGGCTTCTGAGTGATGTAAGAAACAGGTGAGAAGAGAGAGCTTTCAGTGAATGGCCTCAATTTTTCCCACCATCATCTATCCAATCATCCAGGTTTATAACCTAGATGTCATTCTCTACTTTCTACTCCCATTCACCCCATGTATGCATTAAATTATCAAATCTTGGTGTTTCTTGTCATTTCTCTCTTCACGTACATGGTCACCTACCACCTTAGTTCAAGCCTTGGTTGTCTTATGTGTAGACTATTGTAATAATTTCCTAGTTGTTCTCCTTTCCTAAAGTCTCTCCCTCCATCCAAAGTGGTTTTCCTAAAGTTCAGGTGTGACCATCTCATCCCCCTTCTCTATCAACTATAGTGATTCCCTATTATCTTTAAGATCAAATATAAACTCCTGTGTTATGCATTTAAAGCTTTTCATCACCTAGCTCCTTCCTAACTTTTTAGTCTTTTTACACATTAATCAATCAACCAACATTAATTAAGTGACTACTACGTGAAGGATCTTACAATCTAGTCAGGGGAGACAACATGTACCTGGACGGGTAGGTAGAAAACAGATGCAGTCTCTGCTTTCTAGAATCTATCCAATCTAGCCTTACAATCGGGACTCCATCTCTTGCCTTTTCCTTGGCTATCTGCCATGCTTTCAATGCTCTCCTTTCCCACCCATGATCCTCAGAATCCCTCACTTCCATCGACACTCAGTTTATATGCTGTCTTCTGCAGGAGGCCTTTCCCATTTTCCCCATCTGCTAGTGTCTTCCTCCCTAAGGCTACCTTTTATCTACTTTTATATACTTTATATGTATCTAGAATATATATCTACTTATGTAAAGATAGTACACCATCCCCCACTCCCTTTAGAATGTAAGCTCCTTGAGGGAAGGGTATGTTTTCAATTTTTCTTTCAATATCCAACTCTTAGTAGCCAGCACATAGGAAGTACTTTATAAATGTTTATGGGTTGATTGTTCAGCAACTTGCCCAAGGTCCTACTGGTAAGAATCATAGCCAGGATTCAAATCCAGCTTCTCTAACTCCAAAACTAGTGTTCTTTTCACCAAGCTGCCTTACCCTGCTACCTTTTCTTCAATAGTTCTGACTTGGGCTTCTCCTCACCTTACCTC